TAACATTGCTGTCAAATTGCCCTAGCCACCAATGTGGGATATAGGCCAAGACCTCTTAATTCCAACCCTGAGTAGTGGAACCTTGGCTATCTGGTTGGGGCTGGCATATAGTGGTGATGATTCATATGCAGTTCCACCCACAATACAGGAATTCAGTTCTGGGTGAAGAGCCTTCTTGTTCTGGATGTAGTGTGGTTTCCCCCACTAGGGTGCCAATCTTCTATTGACACACCCATGATCTATGCAGATGCTTTCTGTATGGAAAATGCCCTCACTGGTACCTCCAGCTTATCAATGTGAGATTGTAGCTATAAGTATGAGTGGAGGTAAATATGTTTTAGAAGTTAACATTTTCTTAAATCACAAATGTTATTTCCAATAATACTTACCTCCGCTGACACTCTCCTGCCTTTCCTTCTCACTAAGAGCTGGTGTTAGAGAATGGGATTGATAAAGGAATAACATTATCTGAATGAGGTGCTTATATTCAGTACCAGAATAGAGGGTGCATTGATGTAGGTGGAAAGTGTCACGAGATAAATATCGCTAAGGGCAGTTGAGTTGGGTATAAAAGACTGGAGGAAGCAAGAAAAAAATCAGACCAATGCTTAGATGGGTAAAGGAAGAAACCCTGGCAGTCGAGTAATAGCCATAAGTGTGAGCAGATGTAAGTATTATTGGAAGTACATTTTTGAATTAAGAAAATGTTAATTTTCTTCAGGAATGTATGATTGTTCACAAAATAGCCTGACATTTAGAACCTGCTTATAGAAAATATTTTACGTGTTCATTATTTCTTGGGCCTTGAATATGTTAAACTGTGTAAACTTTTGTCCATAATATTTAAAGATGAATTTTGAAGTTTACATTTCACATCAGTTAATATGTGTAACATAACTAAGTGAATAATCAGAATTATTAAATGTTTAAAATAAACCCAATATTTATTGTCACATATATAATTACATTGTACAAACTAATCTTGTATACAAAGCAACCAATTTTCAATTTTAGATCACAAGACTTTAAAGGTGGTGTAAGCTACTTGAATAGAAATGTATTTGTTGAATTCAAATGAAAAATAGGTGATTGGTTGTAACTTAGAAATCTCTGAAACATTTTGACACAGTAATTACAACAGTGCATGTTAGTTGTTTTTTTAAGATAAGATTGTAGTGGTTGTAATCTAGAATTGTGTAACAGCTCTTGGATTTCTTAGGTAGTAATGTTCAGTGCATACAGAATGTGTTTATTGGTAGTGATGTTTTGGTATTCTTGGTGGACCAAGAAAAAGTAGGAAGAATATGTTTATGCAACTGAAGATGAAATGTAACCAAGTAAGGTCAGAATGAACACCTTTACTGACAGCACTTTCTGAGAGAATGAAATTACAATATTGTTTAAACTTTGAAGTAGTTACTTGCATTAGCTGCTCATATATGTATATTCTAAAAATTCCACCACTTTATTGAAGTGTTTATGTTTGCATTTGCAAAAGACTTAGCTTGTGGATTTTTGGTAGGCTAATTCATACATTATATTTTTAGGATTATTAAGGAATGCTTTAATATGGACCTTGTCTTGTAGTTTTGAAAAATTATAAATTTTACTGCTAGAAAATGAAACTTTAGATGGATCAAGTGAGGATGAAATAACTCTCCATGAATTAGCTAGTCGCTCCAATACTCGACAAAAATGTGTGCCAGGGGGGAAAAATGTATTAGTCCACTCCCACCAGCTTCGTGGCTCTCGTCAGTATCCTAGAGAGATTGAGAAGGAAGATGGTGAGGTTGAACAAGCTAGCAGTCAAGCATGTAGACGATCATCATCTAATGAATCTAATAAAAGTGAAGAACCAAGAGGTCGATCTGGTCATCGAAAGGATATCGGGAAAGTAGGTAAGGAAGAAAAAAGCATCTACAACACTTATGAGCAAAGTAAATGATCATGAATCAAAGGTAACTTGAAGAGTAACAAAATATGTACCTTTTGTAACCCTTATTCCTTGCTAGTTGAATGTCAGCCAGTAACCATAACATTGGTTTGACTTAAATACCTTATATACTTATTGTTCCTTACAAACCCAGATTAAATTTGTTCAGCAATACAGTGTTAGTGTAGCATACAACTCTTTTGAACTACTAAACATAATGAAAGAACAGTTTCATGATGTTTTTGTTCTATTGTGATCTTATAATTTTTAGTATGTTATTAATCTGTCACATAGAATATTTAATTTAAATATTATAGAATTAGGGATTTTACTGCAGTGAAGTTGGGTTGAGAAACCTTTATTCTACTTTCACAGCCACTGAGCTGTGTGAATGGCAAAAACTGTAAAAATTCATAGATGTATGAAGCTAATATCACCCTTGTATGTATGAATTGACTTTTGTATGTCTTTTGTCATATTTTAATTCTGTACTAATAAACTTGATATTTAGTGGCTCCTATATTGTTAGACTTGTTTTCAACACTAGCTTCACCTGGATTATTTGTAAAGAAAACTGCTGATATAGATTTAAACCATATAATCTGTGGCCTTGATTAGGCAGTTCTTAGAAATACTACATTCTGGCTTTTAGTGTGTAAAATTAGTTAACTCTGTTATGTCACACTGTTTAATAACCCCTGTGCCTTTTGTAGTATTTGAATAGAAACAAACAATAAATGTGGATCATTGTGCAAATTTGTAGCTTTACAGGTTTGATCCAAACAAGTTAGAAGCTCAAATAATGTTTGGAGAGTAGTTCTAGCTATTATGAGTCTCTCAGTGTTTTTCACTGAGAGTAAATTACATTTTATATCAAATAAAATTAGTAACTTGTATAATTTGAATGTTTATAATCATAATATTGAATATAAAGTTTGGCTGGCTATATGAAAATTCATTTTTGTCCTATGGTATCAGGTTGGAAAGGGTTAATGTAGTGTCAGAAAGCTTTTTTGTTTTAACCCTTATCATGTAGCTGAATAGTTATGGGAGGTTTCATATTGATTTGTTACTGCATTTTCCATAAAACTATAACATTAAAAATAATTAGATCTGGTAGTTCTAGAATTAAATTCAACAACAAGTTTTCACTTTTTCCATAATTGTTATTCATATATCTTTGTTTTATCACTTTGTTTTAACCTTGGTAGAAATATCCTCAAAATCTATCTACAGTTAATCCTGCTTTTTAAAAAATTACAGGGGGGTAACAGGAGTCCTTATGTCTTGAGCAATCCCAAGTTATCTTCAGAAATTCATAATAATGAAAAACTTCAAATTGCAGTGTCATTCACAAGTTTTTGAACTCCAGGAAGAATATATAAATTTAACAGCATTGTTGTTATTAGACAGTTAGTTTTAATTTAATCTTTTGTTAACTTACAAGTTCATTTCCTGTATATAATTTACTGTTAAGTTTTTTGTATGAAATTAGGCCATTTGCAATATCTCTAGTAGACACTACTATCACTTCTTAGGCCAAAGATTTGGTATTAGAGCTAAAGTTAAATCCTTCTGATCAAATGTCACTAAAGACTGAGTTTCTGCTAAAGTTTACGAAATTGTGTGTGTGTGTAACTCGTTAACTTTTACCTTAACAGCTTATTTCATGCTTATTCTTTTGATAGGATTTTAAAGGCTAGTCCAGAGATTTATATTAAAATGTATTAAAGTTATTTATTTGTGTCCTCTTTTCAAAATGCTATTTACAGTACTAACATACAGTAACTCCCTTATTAGTGACAGCATTTATAAGCTTCACTAAAAGATCAGTTGCATATGTTTATTAAGGAAGATATTAATAAAAATGAACTAATAGGATTTTATATCCTTAAAGATCATATGTAGCTTAACCCGATACTCTCTGGGGCCATTTTGTCTTATTGTGAGGGCAAAATCATTTGTGAATTGAAAAAATGATAGAGAACTTATCTTTTATTCGATCTCAGATTTTATTTTTGTAAATAGTAGCATAACATTCAATTATTTATACAAAATTGTATTATTTAATGAAGTTTAAAGAGGAATTTAATGAAAAAATTCCTAAAATACAA